ATATAATTCTATCTGGGCTGCGAAGGGCTTTTTATAAAATAACTCAGCTCATAGATTTACAGTAAGCTTAACCTAATTTAACACATCCTCAGTGCTGGTAACTATATAACAATGTGTTTAAATAGCACAAAATATAGTGATTTATTTTGTTCAGGATTCACAATTGTTCATTATTACTCTGACCTCACAACGAGTCCCCGCTCTGATTGTGTGGGGTGCATCTACTTTGGGGTTTGCATGTTCTCTCTGTGCCTACTGTACCTTTCCCTCAGGTGATTCTATTCATTTATTTTTATGTCACTAAAACTTTTGTGTTTGCGTTTTTGGTTGCAGCTCTACATGGATCCAGCACACATACTTCACTCTGCAAATAATTCAAAGCCCTTGGTAGAAAGATTAATCATTTGAAACGTAATTCTCCGTTCAGAGTGGCCCCTCCCCTGTCCTTCCAAATCTGTGTAGCATTAAATCAAGAAGTACAGCACCACGCACCACTCTCCCTGCACTTCTGCTGACTCATTGGTCTGACAGTAATTTGGAGCAGCCCTCTCTAATGGGACTATATCTGGGAGGCTGTGTGTCCGTCGGCCCCAACCCTGCGCCTGTGCTCTCTCTGTGGCTTCCAGCACTCCCTCCTATACCTCCAATGTAAATATTTATCACCACGCAAACACCCCAATGCGGTGCTGTAATGCTGCTATTTCTCATCCCTCTAGTTTTCACCAGAGAAGGTTTTAATTGGAAGTGACCTGACGTAATGTGAGGTTTAACATGATTTCGTGCTCATGCGTCTGATTTATCCCTCGGTAAAGGTGTAGCTGTAATGACTTCATTCCAACGGCTATAAAACACTCACTCTCTGAAGGTCACACATGAATATATTAATATTCCTTCAATGTGGGTCGTCAAGGAGAATTTTTTTACAAAGTTAACAACTTAACGCAATAATTGCAGAGATACATCTTCATTGCAAGTGTGAAAACATAGAGTGTAAATTAGGAGTGGACCGACCGAGTGTGACATCACCCATCGGTTACTTAATCCACTTATTATCCTGCCCCATATGTACAGTATATAACTTTGCACTGTATAAATATAGATAGATAGAGAGAGTGAGATAACGAGAAATTAACATTGAAGCATTTACAGCTAGCTAAGAACCATAGCAGCTACGTATTTTGTATATTTTTCTGTCCTGTATGTGCGCTGCAACATTGAAATTTCCCTACTGTGGGACGAATACATGTTCTCTTTTCTTATCTTATTGTATTTTTGTTAATGCAGAAGAAGCTGATTTGAACACAATTTTTCTGTTTGCGTTAGCTTTGCGGCGTAATTGGGGCAGACGTGTTGCTAGGAGGGTTGCTAGGGCGAGCTTGGTTTTCCTCTGATCATAGAGAGCGCTAAAATACACATGTTTTATTCCCAAAATGGTGAGTGTGACCCGGACGGTTACTCTTCTTTTCAATGTAAGTCAATCGGAGCCATAGTGAGTTGGACCAAAAACTTTGTCCATGAGCACTTCGCTTTTGAGCTTCATTGAGCTAGGGAGTGAGGGAATTATCCATTTATTTTGAGTGTATGTGGGACAAATAAGGCTGCATTTACCAATATAAGTAGTGGACTTTACTCACTTAATTCAAACCATGTTACTAATGATTCACCAAATGTTTAAAGGACAACTCACCCTCAAATCCACGGTATAAATGAGTGTCCAATAGTGTTGTCTACATATCCTGGTCATAATTTTGTCACTTTGGTGCAAATTAGTTGAAAGTTAAACTTTCTGCCTAAAACCGTCTGTGAGGCGCCATCTGCTGGCGACCTGTATTACTACATTTGAATTTTGAATCTGGCGCCATCACTGGTGCGGCAGCAAGACCTGACGTCTGGAGCAAGACCTGACGTCAACAGCCCCCCGCCCAGAGCAATGTAAACGGCCCAGTCTCGTTCACGCCCCCTTTAGTCCTCCAGGCTACGCCCATTCAGAGGAAGATTTGAACAGGAAATGTGAGTGACGTAAGCTCCGAGGAGCGGGGGTGAGAACCACTTTAACCATCTCCATTAAACGTCTCTCTTCAATACTTTGTGATTCCACTGTTTTCTCTCGTCAGCAGCAGAATTTTAGCACAAATATAAAAGTCACCTGCTGCATTCGTGACCTACTTCTATGTCCGGCATTTTTTTTGATTCCATTTACTGAGAAATGCCACGAAGAGACAGACAGACATCAAAATCGCTGTACTGTAGGGACATTTTTCGGAATATACAGTAATGATACCAATATTTACGTGACCTCATTCTGTACCACAAATATCTAAGTATAGCCTCACTTCCTCTTTGAGACAATAGTGCTGTTTTTAAATCCGTGTTATTGCTCAGGTAAATATGACTCATGGGTAAATGTGGTATTTGGAAAAACAAGTTTGTGACAGATTTATTGCCTGACAAGATTCTTTCCACACTTTATTTAGGTAATTGTTGTTTGTACGTTGTCTGCATCAATGGTTTAGAGCAAACATGTCGAGGCACATGCTCTCTCAAGGATTAAAGCCATGAAACTAACATGATTCATATCACCAAATCTCCCATGCTCCTTCCGTCAGTGGATCCATGCCGATCCCGGATGCTGTAAGAATAGTGAGAGACATTTATGAACATGTTTTAACATCCATGGCCGAACTGTTTGATTCTCTGATCGTTTTTTGAGGAGTCGACAACCTTGTAAAGTCCTTTGAGGCGACTGCTGTTGTGATTTAGGGCTTTACAAAACTAAAAAGAATTGAATCGAGTCATGCTGACGACATTTTGTTAAGCATTTATCATTCACTGACCATGAAATAACAAAAATTACTCTGGCATCAGGAGACAGCTTCAACTACTTAAATTACTCTTATTCCTATTATTCATTCTGCTGTTAATCTCTGCTGCTAAATGACTATATGAATCACCTGCAAATGTGAAACTTCGACAGTTTTATGCATATTTATTATCAATTATCTTATATGATTGATCTTGTTTGCCATGAGCGTATCCCTCTCTCCATGTGAGCCTCCCTGCGGTGTTTTACCCTTTTCCCACTGGGTTTTTGAGACATTCCCTGCCAAATTCTGGAGGGTTGAAGGACAGCAATGATCCGTGACTTTTATGGACATTTATTAACATTTATGGATATTTTTTTGAACATCCCCCTTTGTATCAGTGGCTCCTATAGGTGATTGTTATTATTGCATTTCTGTGTTCCAACTGGTTAATTTTCTGATCTGTTTTTGAGTAATTAACGTCTTTATAAAGTCTTTCGAGACAAATAAGTTAAATTGAATTAAATAAATAAAAAATCCCGAAGGCGCTTATTCCTCTTGTAATTTATCATGTAAGGTTATTAAGGGGAAGAACACAGATGGATGGATGGGGAAATAACTTTTTTAAATATTGGGAATATGGGAATCTTTTGCACAACACAGCTCCTAGTTGTACCAGTTGAAATGAATCAATATATCAATCTGGTGCACACTGGGGGAGTCTTGCGCAGTTTTTCCAATGTGGTTTTACTGCAAATGGCAAATATATTCTTGTAACATGTATAATTTATCTATTTGTGAAATGTAAACATGTATCTTTTACGACTTGAGGATCCTAAGTGCATGTGTGTGTATCTACCTGTATGTGTCTTTGCAGTGTCATCAGCTCCTCAGCCAGAGTGGCCCTCCTGTCTCGGTCCTCTCCGTGAGTTATTTCCTCGGAGTCTCTCGCTTCCTCTTGGGCTTCTTATTTACAGTCATAACGGCCCCTAATATCCTTTTTAGCCCCTCCCCCCTCCCTCCTCACCCCCAAACTCAATTATCACCTCCCCTTCCACTGCAATACATCCATTTCCTCTGCGCTGTAATTGCTTCTCTAACAAACCCCTACTGTACCTTTATCAACAAAAGCTGGTCCAAAGTACTTAATGGTTACCAAGAGGTCGTCAATCATGGCAACAGCGTCTGATGAAGTTTCGACCTGCACTCTTGTCCGGCATTTCTCCCTGATATTTCGGTAATTAGTCGAGAGATGAAATACGGGCATGTGTCAGAGCGGTTTGGGCCACTTGTGGGCTGTGAATAATCTTCCTGAGACAACAAAATATCAAATGACTCTTATTACATGATGCTAAAGGTAGACACGTTGGTTTAATTTACAATGTAATTTAAGTTGGCCTCAGTGATTTCATAGTAGGCTCAAAAGAAAGGCTTACTATATTTTTTCTTGTCTAAAAACATAATATCAAGTGGATGTTTCATTCAACATTACTTACACTTTTTCCATATGTTACTGTAACTACTTTGCTGTTGTATGCACATTTCCTGTCTTTTTGCGCACCCTGACTGACCCATTTTATGCCAAATACACATTTCTCCATCATGAAATCAATAAAGTTTTATCTTACCTTGTATTTGATACACCTAAAGTGCAAAAGCCCCCTGCTCTCAGTCCTCTCCCTGTTGCTGCGCTGCTAGAGAAATCAGCAACCAATCCTCACCTGGCAGCATCTAAGCTTTAATTTGTGCAGCAACCCTCCTCCTCCCCAGCACCGCCTCGTCAGTCTGACCTGCTCTTCAACTCTTCTCTAAACTCCCACCACCAGGGTTTTGAGGAGTTTCAACTTATGATGTCTATTTTCTCTTCTTCTTCTAGGTCCAAATCTCAACCGCATTTCATATACAGCATGCAGTAAATGTCATTCTTGCATATATGACGTCTACAGAGTCCTATTGGCTACTGTTTATAGTGACTGATAACATGCCAACCTATAAAGAGCTCTGGTGTGTGTCGTCTGGTGCACACCGGGGTAGTCTTGCACAGTTTTTCCTATGTGGTTTTACTGCAAATGGCAAATAAATGAATCTGAATCTGAATCTGATAAATGCAATTCTAATAACCCCATTTTGTCTTTTTGCGTGTCTCCAGATTGAAATAGCATGAACAACAAAACGATTATTATTTCTCTGCGAGTCAAGATGGTGCTTTTTTATAGACAGGCCGATCTCCCCGTGGTTGTCTTTGAGCGCACCTCCCACATCAGTGTGAGGCCTTTGCCCCTCAGTCTGCAGGTGAAGATGTGTCAGTGTCAGTGGGTGGAGGTCAGATAGAAAACAAATGACCGGAACCACAGCTCTCTGACCCCGGGCCTATAGCTGCTGCGTGCTTCAACTCGCTTCTATACAATATATATCACACATAAAGACCAGGAGAAACGCTACCAGAGACTTTTATTCAACTGAAAATAACAATAATTTCCAAACAATTTTCTTTTTCTTGGCTCTCAGTCTTGCTGGTGAAGTGGGCCCAATTATCTTTAACTGTACATTTTATCGCAAGTTTTATACATGTACCATTAAAACATCAACCATTATATGAGGGCTATTTAAGTAGTATGTAAGCCTTTAGGTCTGCGGGTGCTATTTAAGTGATATGTGTTGCTCATTTCTGATGGATTCACGCTCAATTGGAACAGTTTTAGCTCTTCATGGTGCAAAATGTCACTTCCAATACATCATGTGTTTTTCTTGCATGTTAAGCACACACAGTTGGATTTCAATTATTATTATATTTAACACTTGCACTATGCTCTCTTTGGACACCCCTCCTTTATTACATAGGTGGTATATATTACTGTAGCGCTCATGTTGTTGATCGTAATCTGAAAAAGGATTAAAGCCATGAAACTAACATGATTCATATCACCAAATCTCCCATGCTCCTTCCGTCAGTGGATCCATGCCGATCCCGGATGCTGTAAGAATAGTGAGAGACATTTATGAACATGTTTTAACATCCATGGCCGAACTGTTTGATTCTCTGATCGTTTTTTGAGGAGTCGACAACCTTGTAAAGTCCTTTGAGGCGACTGCTGTTGTGATTTAGGGCTTTACAAAACTAAAAAGAATTGAATCGAGTCATGCTGACGACATTTTGTTAAGCATTTATCATTCACTGACCATGAAATAACAAAAATTACTCTGGCATCAGGAGACAGCTTCAACTACTTAAATTACTCTTATTCCTATTATTCATTCTGCTGTTAATCTCTGCTGCTAAATGACTATATGAATCACCTGCAAATGTGAAACTTCGACAGTTTTATGCATATTTATTATCAATTATCTTATATGATTGATCTTGTTTGCCATGAGCGGATCCCTCTCTCCATGTGAGCCTCCCTGCGGTGTTTTACCCTTTTCCCACTGGGTTTTTGAGACATTCCCTGCCAAATTCTGGAGGGTTGAAGGACAGCAATGATCCGTGACTTTTATGGACATTTATTAACATTTATGGATATTTTTTTGAACATCCCCCTTTGTATCAGTGGCTCCTATAGGTGATTGTTATTATTGCATTTCTGTGTTCCAACTGGTTAATTTTCTGATCTGTTTTTGAGTAATTAACGTCTTTATAAAGTCTTTCGAGACAAATAAGTTAAATTGAATTAAATAAATAAAAAATCCCGAAGGCGCTTATTCCTCTTGTAATTTATCATGTAAGGTTATTAAGGGGACCTGCTCTTCAACTCTTCTCTAAACTCCCACCACCAGGGTTTTGAGGAGTTTCAACTTATGATGTCTATTTTCTCTTCTTCTTCTGGGTCCAAATCTCAACCGCATTTCATATACAGCATGCAGTAAATGTCATTCTTGCATATATGACGTCTACAGAGTCCTATTGGCTACTGTTTATAGTGACTGATAACATGCCAACCTATAAAGAGCTCTGGTGTGTGTCGTCTGGTGCACACCGGGGTAGTCTTGCACAGTTTTTCCTATGTGGTTTTACTGCAAATGGCAAATAAATGAATCTGAATCTGAATCTGAATCTGATAAATGCAATTCTAATAACCCCATTTTGTCTTTTTGCGTGTCTCCAGATTGAAATAGCATGAACAACAAAACGATTATTATTTCTCTGCGAGTCAAGATGGTGCTTTTTTATAGACAGGCCGATCTCCCCGTGGTTGTCTTTGAGCGCACCTCCCACATCAGTGTGAGGCCTTTGCCCCTCAGTCTGCAGGTGAAGATGTGTCAGTGTCAGTGGGTGGAGGTCAGATAGAAAACAAATGACCGGAACCACAGCTCTCTGACCCCGGGCCTATAGCTGCTGCGTGCTTCAACTCGCTTCTATACAATATATATCACACATAAAGACCAGGAGAAACGCTACCAGAGACTTTTATTCAACTGAAAATAACAATAATTTCCAAACAATTTTCTTTTTCTTGGCTCTCAGTCTTGCTGGTGAAGTGGGCCCAATTATCTTTAACTGTACATTTTATCGCAAGTTTTATCCATGTACCATTAAAACATCAACCATTATATGAGGGCTATTTAGGTAGTATGTAAGCCTTTAGGTCTGCGGGTGCTATTTAAGTGATATGTGTTGCTCATTTCTGATGGATTCACGCTCAATTGGAACAGTTTTAGCTCTTCATGGTGCAAAATGTCACTTCCAATACATCATGTGTTTTTCTTGCATGTTAAGCACACACAGTTGGATTTCAATTATTATTATATTTAACACTTGCACTATGCTCTCTTTGGACACCCCTCCTTTATTACATAGGTGGTATATATTACTGTAGCGCTCATGTTGTTGATCGTAATCTGAAAAAGATCATGTTGGCAGATAATATTTCACAGGTTTATAAATACTGTTTGGGTAATAGAAGAGTGACCAAACGAATGGCTTGAGTCCCTTTGGCATTTTCTTAGCTCTTTAAACGGTGCGGCCAGTAATGTCATAAAAAACGTGTTGCCAGATATGTCACGATCATCAAAAAGTAACGCTGCTGTTTTTAAACTACAGCTCTTGATCATTTCTCCAGTGTATATCCAGTGTTAAAACTTTACTGATGGTTGTGAGTTGGAACCAGCCTGAGCGATAGCAGCACTTTTGTTTGGTAACTTGATTCCTCTTAGGTGTGCATTACTTCATTAATACTATAAGGACAGGGCTTTTTTTTTGGTCGATTTGTCGCATCTCACACTACAACTATGACCTCAGCACTACTACTACTGCCACTACTACACTCAGGTGATGAAATATGAATACAGGGAGTGTACTGTATTGTCTGGCGTGTGTCGGGCGGATTTCCACTTGCGGAGGATGGGGAGGCATCTTGTTGTTGGCGCTGCTCCATCGACTGTGGAGGAGGTGAAGTCTTTTAATGAAATAGCTTGACCTTTGTCTATCAGACCCAAGTGCCCTTTCTATCAAGTCTACCAGTGTGGTCCAGCGTGGAGCTCACTGGAGTATTACTGCATATAGTCTCAGTGGAGAGAGGGGGTCGCACTCACCCACCGCCACCAGTTTATTAAAATAATGCTTAAAGTGTCTCAATTTTCATTCAATTCAACGTTTTAACAGCCTTTAGGTCCAATTGTAGTCAATTTTCATAATATGCAGGCACCAAGTTGACAAGATGTAAGTAAGTAAGGAACCTTATGTAGCGCCTTTCACAGACAAATGTATTGTTTTTTGGGTATTTTGTTTCACACTCCACATAGCGTGAGAGAGAGACTGACCCAAAAGGCTTAATTCCTAAAACTGTAATGGAATCCAAAAGTGTAAAAAGAATTGATTGGGACTGTGTGGCATGACTGTTGTAAACGCTGTAACTTTGACCCTAAGGACCATTTTATTATATGTATCCTCATAATGTACTTTATGAAAGAAAATCATAAAAAATGTATCTTTCTGAAACCCCCAGTGGGTTAATAATACTATGTGATATTATTATGAAAGGGTTATACCTATAAAGTCTAAAGTTGTAACCTAGTACCATCATAAAATATCCGGTTCCATTTACAGATTCAAAATATGTGAAAGCACTACGTCACTGCTTCCATAACTATTATAACCAACATTTGTCTATAGACTTGTATTCAAAGTCGTAAAGTACAACAAATCCCTCTTTACTAAACATTGGGGTCATTATTTGCAGTATAGATCTCTCAGTTTGGTGCGTAGTCAGTCTGAATGCTAACAGATGCGCAGTGGGAGACGTTCCCGTGCCCGGAGGTAATGGAGGTTCCCCGGATCACGTTAATTGCTGGAGTTTTCTGAAGGTGCTGCCTAATGACCCCCAACCTCTGCCGTCATCAATCTCACAGCCCTCACAACTTCTCATTACAGGGGCTACTTTAAATCTTGCCCAAGTCTCTGTGTGCAAACTGGAAAATGTGTTATAGCTTTGTCAATGCCGGGTAAGGCAAGGCAAGGCAAGGCAAGTTTATTTATATAGCACAATTCATACACAAGGCAATTCAAAGTGCTGAACAAAACAAGAAAGCATTAAAATCATAAATAATCACAGAACATTAAAAAGAAAGATACAAATATAAAATCCCTCAGTTGTATGCACAGCTAAACAGAACTGTCTTTAACCTGGCTTTAAACATTGTCAGAGAGGAGGCCTGTCTCACATCTCCAGGAAGACTGTTCCAGATTTTAGCAGCATGAATCTGAAAAGCAGCCTCCCCATGTTTAGTTCTGACTCTGGGCACTAACAGGAGTCCAGTCCCTGTGCTCCTCAGAGTCCGGGCTGGTTCATATGGGACTAACATGTCACTAATATATTTTGGTGCGAGGCCATGGAGAGACTTGTACACAAGCAGAGCTGTTTTAAAGTCTATTCTCTGAGCCACAGGAAGCCAGTGCAGAGACCTGAGGACTGGACTAATGTGGTCGTACTTCCTGGTTCTTGTCAGGACTCGAGCTGCTGCATTTTGAATGTACTGCAGCTGTTTTACAGCCTGTTTGGACAGACCTGTGAGCAGGCCATTGCAGTAGTCTAACCTACTGGAGACAAATGCATGGATAAGAATCTCCAAGTCTGCTTTAGACACTATGTTTTTGATCCTGGCAATGTTTTTTAGATGGTAAAAAGCTGCTGATGTTACTGATTTGATGTGGCTATTAAAATTTAAGTCTGAGTCCAGTATTACCCCTAGATTTCTGACCTTGTTTGAAGGTTTTAGGGAGAGAGACTGTAGGTGACAGATGACGCTCTCTCTTTGTTTCTGGGGACCAAAGACAATCATTTCAGTTTTGTCTGTGTTTAGCTGAAGGAAGTTGTTTTGCATCCACTCACTGATCTGTTGGATACAGTGAAGGAGTGAGTCCACTGGTCCATGTTCTCCTGCAGTCAGTGAGACATAGATCTGAGTGTCGTCTGCATAGTTATGATAGGAAACTTCGTTTCTGCGTATTAACTGACCTAACGGCAGCATGTAGAGATTGAACAGAAGAGGTCCCAGGATCGACCCCTGTGGTACTCCACAGGTCAGGGCCATATGATCTGAGACACAGTTTCCAATCTCCACAAAGTACTTCCTGTCCTCAAGGTAAGACCTAAACCAACTTAGGGCGGTGCCAGCGACTCCAACCCAGTCCTCTAGTCTCTGTAAGAGGATCTCATGGTCGACGGTGTCAAAGGCAGCACTTAGATCTAACAAGATTAAGATTGAGACTTTGCCTGCGTCAGTGTTCAGCCGGATATCGTTTGTAACCTTGACGAGAGCAGTCTCAGTGCTGTGGTGGGGTCTAAAGCCGGACTGAAACATATCAAATGAGTTGTTGATTATAAGAAATCTAGTAAGCTGTAGGTAGACAACTTTTTCAAGGACTTTCCCCATAAATGGCAGATTTGAGATGGGACGATAGTTGTTAAGTACCGTAGCATCGAGACTGCTCTTTTTTAGCAGGGGCCTGATGACTGCAGTTTTCAGGGCCTTTGGGAATATTCCAGAATGAAGGGACATGTTTACTATCTGTGTGAGTGAAGGTAACAGACTGCTCAGAACAGACTTCAGAAATCTAGTGGGTAGTACATCCAAGCTGCATGTGGAGGAGCTCAAACTGGAGATTATCTCTTGGACAGTTTTATCATTTACAGGTGCAAAGTGAGTTAGCTCAGAGAGCCTTTCTGGCTGTTGGATGGTTATCTGTGGATTGGAGACAATGGCGTTTTTGATGCCTTGAACCTTGTCATTGAAAAAATTTGCAAACTCATTGCATTTACGTTTGGAAGTAAGCTCTAATGGCATTTGAACAGGGGGGTTTGTTAATCTATTAACTGTTGAAAACAGAACACGCAGATTGTTGCTGCAGCCTTCAATCATTTCAGAAAAATACCTTTCTCTCGTACTACGTAGCACCCGGTTAAACTCGCACAACTTATCTTTGAAGATCTCGTAATCAACCTGGAGGTTGGACTTGCGCCACTTCCGCTCGGCCCTCCGGCACTTTCTCTTTTGTGCCCTGACCGAGTCTGCTTTAGCCCACGGCGCCTTCTGCTTATTTTTCACTATTTTAACCTTCACAGGGGCAACGGTATCCAGAACATTCAAAACACTAGAGGTGACAGAGTTAAACAGTTCATCTACAGTAGAATACGATGCATTCTCAAAGTTTATCATTCCCATAAATAGTTCACTCGTATTTTCATTTATGTGTCTTCTTCGTACAGTTGCAGAGTCCACTGGTGGTTTGTTAGTGAAACACATGTCAAAAAAAACACAGAAATGATCCGAAAGAGCAACATCGACCACGTTTACATTTGAAATATTCACCCCCTTAGTAACTAACAGATCTAGAGTGTGCCCTCTGCTGTGGGTGGGGCCACTTACGTGCTGAGTGAGATCAAAGGATTCAAGTACAGAACTCAGCTCAGATGAGCCCAGTCTTACCGGGGCTAAATTGAAACAAAATGAATGACCCAGCAGTTTCTTCAAATTCTATTATATTATCATTGCATGCTACTACAGAGAATAGGACAATGCTGTCTTTTTGAATCTGGAGGGATAACAAATTGTCCTGTAAGATTGGTTGCGGTACACATTCAACCGGTGTCATGTTGGTGCAGTGGTTAGTGCCTCACAGCAAGAAGGTCCTGGGTTTGACTCCATCTCCAAACAGGGCATGGATGGAGTTTGTATATTCTCGTTCGCAAATATTTAGAAAACCGACAAATAGTTGCTTCTCCTCGCTACTATCTTCAACATGTTTTGTTATTGGCAGTAAAGTTAAAAAGGATTGGCTCAAGAGGAGGT